CTTCTGGACAGCCGCTCACTGCGGCTGCTGGCCGCTCACGCTGGCTGCTGGCTTCACACAGTAACCCATGGCAACCCACTGCCATAGGGGCTGCAGCCTACTCTGTCTCCGGCGACTCATGGCTGCCCAGCTCCAGGTTGAGCTGTTGTTCAGCATCTTAGCTGTGGAGGGCAGTGTCACTGGCCCTCATATGTGGGATCCAAACGGGGGTCCTCTGGCGTCCCAAGCCAGTTCTTAACCATTGCGCCACTCGGCGGCCTGGGATTTTATTTTTATGCAAATGATGTCATCCACTTTTCTCTCCACCTGTCAGCAACATTGGACACTATTAACCACCCCATCCTCAAAACTCCCTTCCTCTGGCTTCTATAACCCACAACTCTTGGGTTTTGCTCTTCCCCTCTGGCCACTCCCACGTGTATGCTCCGCTTGGGTTTATTCTAAGCCTTTCTTTCTTCTAACTCTGTTTTTTCTGTGATTGATCTCACCCACTCCCTTGGCTTCAAAATATTTGAGGATGCCCCCAAATTCCTCTCTCTGAAACAGCTTCTCTCCTGAGTGCAGATCCATGTGACCAGTTGTCCAGTAGGTTATTTCACAGGCACCCCAACCTCACTGAGCCCACATGAGTGCTTCATGATCTTCTGCCCCTCCCCACTTGCTCAGACTCCTGGGTTCCCAAATGAGCATCCACCCAGTCGTACAAGGAAGGCCCTTATACTCGCCGCTCCTTCACCCTCACCGCTACGCTCAGTATATTAGTTTCCTATTGCTGCTATACCAAGTGACCACAAACTTAGTGAATTAAAACAATACAAATTATTATCTTAAGCCTAGAAATCTGAAGTCCAAAATGGGTTTCACTGAGGTACAATCAAAGTGTCTGTGGGGTTGCATTCCACCTGCAAGCTTTAGAGGTGAATCCGTTTCCTTGACTTTTCCAGCTCCTAGAGGCTGCTCACACTGCTTAGCTCATGGCCCCTTCATCTTTACAGCACATCTCTCTAACCACTGCCTCAGTCATCACCTTGCCCTGTCTGACCCTGACCTTCCTGCCTCCCTCTTGTAAGACCCTTGTGATTACATTGGGCTCACCCTGATTCTCCAAGATAATCTCCCCTCCATGTAAAAGCCTTAATTTAATCAAATCTGAAGTCTTTTTTGCCATGTAAGATCACATATTCGCAGGTTCCTGGGATTAGAACATGGGCAACTCTAGGAGGCAGTGGTTTTGCCCACCATACCTGTCCAATGCCAAGCCCTCTGCAGTCCATCTTTCAAAATACCTCTGAAATCTGTCCCCTTCTTTCTATCCCATTGCTATGCTGATCTGTGAGGTTCTCTCCTCTGCAACCATTTCTGACAACCATTATGACAACCATTTCTCTGGCCTCTCTGCCTCAATATGTTCTCTCCTCCAATCAATTTTCTCTATTGCAACCAAAGTAATCTTTGAAAACATCTGACCGTGTGATTTCTATGCAGTCCCACAGGGTTGTACAACACCATTGGGTACCGTTTTACATTGTGTTGTGTCTCCTGGATATGCTGCCAGCATACCTTAACTCCTCTACTTAGAACCCATGCAAGTCCCTCTTTACTCTAACAAAGAGATTCAAAAGTCCAGCAGTTAAATAGTGTTAAAAATGTTTTCTCATGAACAGTTTCACGTGGCCCCAACATCAACACAACATCTGGTACAGGGTGACTGCTTCAGGTCTCACCATTCCCAGCATATGGGATGGGGAGAGGATAAGCCCAGTCACTTAAAGGGAAACCCTAGCATTTGCAATCATTACCCATTCATATTCCCTTGGCTGAACCAGTCACATGTCCACATCTGGGTGAAAAGGAGAGACACCGTCTTTAGCTGAAAGGTCATATGCCCAGCTAAATTCTATTGCTCCTCCCAAAAAGGGGAGAATGGATTTGGGAGTCAATTAGCAGTCTTCCACAGGGAGGAAAACTAGGTGCTATCCAAGAGAAAAATGGAGTTATGTAATTTAGATCGGAGGATAGGGAAGGCCTCTTTGAGGAAGTAACAGTAAACTGAGATGGCCAGCAAACAAGCTCTGGAAAGAACTTTTCCCACAGAAGGAGCAGCCTTGAGGCTGCAAAGAGTTAGGCACTGGTGACTGGAACAGAATGAGTGGTGGGCTAAGGGGAAATGTCAGGAGATGAGGGTGGAGAAGTAGGCAGGAGCCAGGCCAGGCAGAAACCTGTGTGCCATATTAAGCATTTTGAATTCTAACTTAACATTCAGTGCAATCAATTGAAGGATGTTTAGAAGATCTGATTTGTGCCTTTAGCATATTGCTGTGGCTGTGTGTGGAGAATGGCATGGAGGAGGACAAAAGTAGAAGTGAGACTCATGTAGAAAGTAATTGTTGGTGGGGAGAGAGGTGAGTTCCAGTAGCTCAGACCAGAGTGATAGTAGTGGGGATGGAAAGAAATGGATGGGTTTGAGAACATTTTGGAAACTTACCAGCATACTTAGTGATAGATTGGGTGTGGGAGGCAAGGGAAAAGAGGTAGAATGACTCACAAGTTTCTGGCCCCAGCAACTGGGCGGATTGTTGATAATCTTTACTGAGAGGGAGAAGGCTGTGAGAGGAGCAGGTTAGAGGGAAGAAAGGAAGAGCTCACATTTGGGCACAGTAAGTTT